AATTAATTGTAATTTAAACAAATATAATTAATAAATATACTAATAATAAACGAAATTTCGTATTTTAGTTTTTATAGGTTAAATTTAAACAATTAAAAGAATTTGATCACGTATCGTAGAGATGCACAAAAGATCATAACAATGGTTGAAAGTACATATTCTATTAAGAGGTTAAGCAAAAATGGCGACTCTCAGCGTCGAAAACTCGCGTTTAAATCAGCAAAAGTATCAGCATAGCATGTTAAGCAAGGAGGTTGACGGAGATATTCTAAACGGGAGGGTGTTGCTTCCTCACATTGCCTCCGCTTAATCGCGCTGCTATTGGTCAGAGGGCGGGAGCCTACTACCCCTTCTGTGCATACCCGCCAGCGCTCTGATTGGCCGTAGGGGGGGCATCCGTACCGCGCGCCGTTCCGACAGCGATGGGTAATAAGTGGGGGTAGGCGTGCCGCTGCCGGAATACCTCTGCAACTTCCTTGCTCATCATGCTTCCCGCGTAACAGGAGCGATTTCTGAGGAATTACAAACGACTCAAACTCGTTTTGCCGCTGCGCGCTGTTCGAATACCTACTGCAACTTCCTTGCTCATCCTGCTTCCCGCGTAACAGGAGCGATTTCTGAGGAATTACAGACGACTCCAAACTCGCGATTCACGTTTTTCTCAGAACTCAAAAATTTTTTTCATAATTTTCATGATCTTTCAAGCGTGTCAACGAATGCATAATGTATTTCTCACTATTACTTAATAATAATTTAATACTAATATGTATTGTTCATTAAATTAATATGTACTTATTAATAACATTTGCTTATGTGATACATAGGAAATACATGTTATTCAATGGAGTAAGAGTGTAATCAAAAAGCTTTAATAAGACTTTGATCCCGTATTACCGAAAAGACAATAAAATCTCGTCACAACCAATGCCATTTCGTTAGAGAAACGATAAATACGACTTTTCTACAAACGATATTAGGTGTCGAATTTTTGCACGTTGGAAAGAGAATGCACATCATGCACATTTATATATTTATAATGCGGAATGCATACGATACGGACATTACCCTCCATTGACGTTGGCTTTATTAATCCCTGAAAAACAAGATTCCTTGAAGTAAAACGCATACATCAACAATCAAAACTGTTGATTCTTCCGAATCCAGATTGCACTCATACCATGATGAATACTTATCGTTTATCGTATAGGTGCTTAAATGTGATTTTTAATGCGAGGAAATAACAGGCGAAAAATCAACGATCGATAAATAAATAATTGATAGTGAATGAGTAACTGGCGGCATTATTGAACGTGTTTATTAAAAGATTTTAATCAGTCTGCATGATATATAAACGAAGAAAGTTACGTATGAGAGAGAATAGCGGTAGGAATAAGGAAGGCATATAAGGAAATTGTGTGTTGCTACATATATAAAATTTATATCAAATAGATTATGGGAAATCCGCGTATAAAGTAAACAGTAACTATCGTTCTCTAATTTCTAATATTCTCTACATTCGAGACCATATGAAAGTAACACGTACAATTCGATAGTAATAACAATTATTCGGCCGCCAAGATGTATATCGAATACATATACGAGCGGAAAACAATTTTGGTTTCTATTTCTCATATCTGAAGGTAGAAGTACTTTGGCCTCTATACATCCACTGATGTGTAATGTTTGCAGTTATAGTTAACGTTCTCGATCAACATCCTCGATAAGAATGATTTGCAAGGCTCACGGCCGCCGAGTCCTTCGGAGGTTCCAAAGAAAACTAAAAAAGGAGTAAAGTGTAGACTCAGATTGCTTGACGAGCAGTTTTTCTTTCTCCTTTAAGAGTTAATGATGTTTACTTGAAACTTTAAAGTCGCTTAAGGCCGCTAGAACTGGTTCGAGAAACGGTCTCGCATAAATAAAAATGCTCGCCGCGGAAGCGAACGTAGCTCGTATATACGATGCGAGATCGTTTGGGGTCGCCATTAATTATTCATGACGCGAACAATAGATCCCGGAGTCGAGGCTTCGGAAAAAAGAGAGACATTTAGTAATCGCATTGCGTGCCGTTTGTATTTTACTCGCGCAAACCAGTGCGCCGGCTAATATATCTCGCGATCTACATCTCCTTCTGCGTTTTCGACGTTGCCGCGGTGCTTATACGGAGCCTGGAAATTTGGAAGTTAAAGGCGACCCGACCCGGGTCGACGAATCCCGTCCGCCTACATTATTCCTAGAATGTGCCGTGAAAAATTGGAGGGATTTACAACGTTGCCTAGTCCCTTGGGTGTCCGTCCGTAAAACCGGTCGCAACTGCAACGTGTATCCGCTGCTTTTATGCAGGCGGAGACGTAGTTTCTTCGAGCGAACCGTATCCGTGGAGATAAGTGCCTGGACTCGAGTCGAGAATGCCTCACTCGGAATCATCGAACATGGTGAGTTTTCTGCGTGATCATCACAGAGTACGACGTAACGTTCGTGTTTTGCTTGTTACGTGAGTACACTTCGGCCTTTGGCTGTTTTCCAGCAAGGTGACATGGTGCGACACTGTGCGACACACTGTGTATGAGTGTTTGTTGGAACGCAAAACTCGACCACAGTGGACACATTTATATTTTCGCAAGGATTTTTTACCAGAATAATTTTAAAGCAGTAAATAAGTTATGTTTAAACAAATAAAATAAATAAAAAACTAGTACTGATATAAAAGATTGGTAACAATGCCTACAGAACACACTCGAACTCTACACCGATGCTGTGTCGAGATGTGCTTCGCTGTGTCGTTGTTGGAAAGCACTGTGTCTGACACTGTGCCACGCAGTGTCGCCTGTGTTCCTTGCTGGAAAGCACCCTTAACACGCCATGAGGATCAACGAGCAAAATATCACGGAAATCACGGCTGGCGTGGTGGAGTGCGTGCCGAGGAGTAACAGATCTTTTCAACCGGTTTTTTCGTCGACGTTTTAGCGACGAATATCGATACTTTCTCGGCCGCAAACCTGTCCCGAAAACCTAATAACATTCATCCACATCGTCGATACGGTATCAGCATTTTTATCGTCGGACTTAGAACTCGAATAGCTCGAAGCTGGTGGAGACTCGATTTCCCGTGTCACGTTCGGGCCATCGTCCTCGAATCGGCGCGTGATTTATATACCGAAGTAAAATAATGTGCCTAGAAGAGGGAATGATTTGTATTACGCAATTCGTATAAATGGTTGTTTATAAAAAGATATTTCGACAACTCATCGCTGAAAGATGATTTTGCCATATATAAGTATTGACGTCACAGTCAGTTTCCAGGTCGCGCGGTTTCCAGCTACAATGATGGCTACAATTTTATTAATAAATAATAATTTTATTGAGTGCGTATTAACTTATCGAATTTAACGAGGTTCCTATAGTTTTAATAGAAATTTAGATATATCACAAACGGACGGTTGCTAAGGCCAGAAAAGCTAAGATGTTGTAAGAAATACCGATAGAGAATACCATGAATTATGAAAAAAAAATGAGATAAAATCGTGACGATGATACATGACTGACGATACAAGACGATTTTGCTGTATTTCGATGACCGATACGATTCTTCTAAATTTCTAAAAGAGTTTTCTTCTAAAAAGGTTTTCGGAGAAACATCACGCTTCAGTTTGCGCGCTCCGAATCACTCTTTATTTTTATTCCGTTACTTATGCTCTAGGGCTATGCACTCTGAAATTGTTTCACGGAAATCATGATTATCGCGTCTCAACGATAATTATCTTGTTTACTATTCCACGATACCTATGTATATTATATATATATATTTAATCTTTAATACTGACTTAATACTTAATACTTAAAACTAATACTAAACTAACTGACCGGCGTGAATGTGAAAAAGCTTAATTAAAATCAATGCTAAAAATAATATTGTAACTCGTTGTATATGATTATTTGCTTTTTACGAAACGTGAACTTTGCCTTATGCAAAAGTCCGGTGCCAACGCCGTCGCTTCCACGAGATTTCTGACGTATGACGATAAATAAGTTTTACCTCGACGCGAGGCTATGACGAAGTTCCACGGATACTAGAAAGCATCGTCATGGATATTGAATTCTCTCCGAAATCGAAAGCTCGTTTTGCGGCGCGTATAATTATAATTGTTAGACATCGTTGTAGCCACGTGTATCCAGGCCAGTATGTGAAGCCGTACGCGTAACTCGCACTCTCGACGAGGAAGTGAAATGACCTGCAATAAAGAGTCTTATAGACCCCGATTTTCCGCTTTCCATATCGTTAGGCGCGAATGGCAGAGCATGCGGATGCGCACCTCGCAGATTAACTCCGGAAAAAAAAGTAATAACGTTATGTAAATGATTCTCTAATGGAGTTCTCCTTGAGAAAACACGCATCGATTAATTGTAGAGCCTATAGGCATTGATAATGATGGCGCGTTAATTGCGTCGCGTTACGTCTAGACTACATTTAATTACGATTAGAATTCATACAGAATCGTTTTGCAATTCTTAGAATTTATATAAAATTGTAATTGATGAAACAAATTTATATATAAAGTGGATTAGAGTGATATATCGCGCCGCGTATATGAATTTATAATATGAATCTTAATGTACGCCAAACGACGACGTAACGAATTGGGCGTGTAAACGCGTAGCTATCTATTATTATCAATATTATTTCGGGAAATAATTGCTACATTTGATCGACCCGTTTTTTTTCAAGAATAAACTTTCGATAATAAATCTTTTATTAAATCTGATCTCCGACATAATTTGCATGTTAAATATTAATATAAGCTTTATCGATTCTCATTCGGGTTACAAGGACTTCCGATTTCATCTTGACAACTATATTTTCTTACATTTATGAAATATTTATAACGTTTTTTTTTTTCCCCAGACTGAAGTAATACTGGACATTTCGACGGACGTCGCGAAAGAGTCCGAAGTCTGTTGCATCGAAATGCAAACGGCTGATTTAGCCGAGTCACGTGAGTAAATCCGTTAAATTAGAAATTTTAATAATTATAAAAAGAAGCTTAAATTGCAAAATAATAAGGTAATGTCATAACTATATGTCGCTTTTATAAGACGTCTCTCTGCTGAAAACTGTAACAAAATTAAAGACCGAAACGAAGCTGTAACGCTGTGGGGAAGACGTAGTAGTACCTTGGGAAAGTCGGCAAGTGTATCATTGTATAAAATTTCCAACAAATCTCTCTCCATTAAAAGCTCGTTCCTAGAATTGAAAATTATTACGCAAACTGTGACCGCAGTGTATCTAAGTATAGCATACGAGCATCGTAGCCGTAGACGTAACTCTCATACGCACTTCCGATGAGAAATACGGAAGGTATCGACCCAGAAGCAGCCGTCATTTTATTTGACCTTTTCAAACTTGATGTGCGTGAGAACATCGCAACTCTCGACATTCGGTATTAGTAATAATTGAGCTCTTTCTCGATCGAGTTCCCCTCTAACTGCAGGTCGGTCGCGACGCATAGAAAATTGTCTTTGTCGTGTCCTTTACTGCATCAAGGATCATCTAAAAATAGGCGAAGTAAACACATCGTTGAGGAAAAACATAACAGAGTTAGTGGCGGCAATATAATTGCGGGTCTCTACTTTTACTACTCAGAGTTAACGAGGAAGTCTCATATATTATTAGACATTGTTTCGCCGGCATTGCGTGATCGCTGAAATAATCCACGAAACATTACACGTTTTGAGGATAAATGTTTGCGCCGCGGCTTTTAAAGTCGAATTAATTTGCACGAACCGTCCTATTTACACCTGCCGCAGACCCCGACCGACAGATTCGATCTCGGTGATTTCAACACAGCCAGACACTTCAAGGTTTAAAGACCGCCTCGATCTACAGAAGATACTGTAATGTTTTTAAATTCTATGCTATCCCCCCACCGTCGAATCGCCTTTCGCATTGTCGCGAGAACTTGCTTTAGATCCAAGTCCAGTCAAAGATCCAGTCTCGAACCCGACAACCTCGAGCGAGCATTCGCGATTTTGAGCGTGGAACGCGGTAACGACAACGACGGATCGGCAACACGCGCGCGCGCAATTTGTTATTACACAAAGCTCCATTTTTCTCACGGTCGGTGAGCTGCCCGGTAACGTCGGGGATCGTTACCTCCGGACTAACGCGTAATCGAGGAAGCAAGGATCATCTTTTTCCGTAGCGAATGTCGGGCGAATCTATGGATAAATTCAAAGTGGAATGCGTAAAGATACACGTGCAACCGACGCAGAATTCTCATCACAATGGTACGTTCCTCCCTTCGCGGCTCGGTGCGATCTCGCAGTAGTATCATTAACGCCCTAAACGCATTACAATGAATTTGCATACAAAATCGCGAGGCACGTTCGAAGCGCACTAAAAGTATTCGCGCCACGACTTGGTTATTCGGTAATACTTTAGTATTTAAATTTTTTCTCATAATAACGCGTAATAACGAAGTAATAATTATATACATATAGGATTGCATATAATTTGTTTATTACTGGTTTATGCGCGTAGAATTACAAATAATGTGTTTATTATTGGCACGCGCTTCGTATCCAAAATTCGCGCCATGTAACTTGGTTATTCGGTAATACTTTAGTATTTAAATTTTTTCTCATAATAACGCGTAAAAACAAAGTAATAATTATATGCATATATAGGATTGCATATAATTTGTTTATTACTGGTGCGTAGAATTACAAATAATGTGTTTATTATTGGCACGCACCTCGTATCTGAAATTCGCGCTTTATAACTGTTGACTGCTCGGTAATTATTTGACAACTTGTAATAATAATAATATATAATATTAATTCATGTAATAATATGTATTATTGTTGTTATTATTATGAAATAACCAAATGCCAGCCATGATGCGCGAATATTTAAACCACAAATCTCACATATGCTGTGCTCCATTATACGTGCAAATTTTGACATTTACGTCTCTGGCGCACGTCATCAGGTTTAGTCATTAAATTTCACAACGAATTTCACTGGCGAAAATAATATGTTTATTGATAATTTATGAGAAGTTTTTTTAAGCGTTGAGTAGATGTGTCATTTGAGCTTTAAAAGTTTAAAACATTTATTAACATTTAAGTTCCGGCCTATGTAAGTACAGAAATCACTTTAGTATTCTTCTTTCTGTAATCTTTAGGACAGAAGATGATACATAAATTTTTATAGATTTTTTGTAATACAAAAAACTCTTTCAAAAACCCTTTTATAGACTTAAAAGTCCCAAGGTGTCCGGGAGCTTGAAAAACACGGTGTCCGTGCAGTGTTAAATTGTTTATAACACATAAATTTAAACATGGAATTGTTTATGAGATGTTCACGGCTACGTTTGATAGACGTTCGAAAAGTGTCACGTAGCGTTTTCAGAATATTGCAAATATTCACGAGGTATTTCAAGGTGCTACGTGAGCATCTCATAAACAATTCCATGTTTAAATTTATATCTCTTAAACAATTTAATAAATGTTTTAAAGCTCAAATGAAACATCTGCTCAACACTTAGGCAAACTTCTTATAAACTATCAATAAACGTATATTATTTTCGTCAGGGAAATAGCTCCGAAGATATTTGACTAGGTAGTACTAGGTAGTAAAAAATTAAGTATGAAATGAAAAACACAAAAATAAGCTCGAAACAGATTCGGAAAAAACCGTGATAAAATAATTAACTCCTTTTCACGTTTATAATTTGCTTACACTGCCCGCTATTGGGCTTTTTATCCCATGTATGATAATGCAATAAACTTACATTATCACAAAGTGTCAAGGGGAGGAAATCAGAAAATGAGGGGATAAAATATTTAAGAATAATTCATGGTATATATTCAAGAGATCTAGAGAGTAACTTATGCAAAAGGTCTAGATCAGTCAAAGGGTTTAGGAGTTAAAATATATTAATAGAGAACATACTAGACAGACATTCTAATTTATATATACCTATATATAGATATAAATATAATATTTATTTAAGATGTATTTTTCCTCTCACATTTCTTTGGTACGACTCTTTCCTTATACTTACTTGTAAAAAGAGAAGTCCATTACAATGTCGAGACATTCAATATTACTTCCGCTAAGTGCGCTTTACTTTCACGGATCTCATGCTCAGTTATTTGAACATCGAATGTGCTTCTGTTGAACATCCAATATTTTCTACATTCCTATAAATAGGACGAACGATAACACGTCCTTTCGTAAACTTCCCTGTAGAACAAATCAAACATCGAAAATAGATTAAACGCTGGCTAGTAATCGCGGGAAAAAAGATAAAACGTGCTCTCCTAACACGCGTTACGCGCCTAGGAAGGAAAAAAACTTATCAGAAATCGCGAAAAGCGAGCTAAACTTCCGGGAGAAAGTGACGCGTAACACCTGTGGAGCGTTCCACGAGGAAACGCGAAATTGATCATTTCCCGAATCGTTCCACCCTGCAAGCCCGCCAATTTTTCACCCTTCACTTTCGCCGGGTCGCCCGGGCAGCCCGGGCTGCTCGGACTCGGATATAACTCGGTCCTCGAGTCCTTGGTCTCGGTCCTCGGATTTCCTGGACTTCGCGAGGCGCGAGAATTCACAAGTGGCGCCCTCTAGCGGTAAGTCGGCCGCACGACCAGACGTGAGACGAGACGCCGTTTATTTATCGATGATAATGCGCGCGTTGATTCTCAATTGTCTCTCGGGAATCAGCCACATCCCAAGTAGCACAGCAAGTCACAATAAAGTCAAAATAATGTCAAAATGACTGCAAAATGACGATTTTTTATCATTTTACCATCATTTTGACGTCATTTTGATTTTATTGTGACTTGCTGTGCTACTTGGGATAGGTGTGATCGTGTGATCCACTGGACGCTTCAAACGTTACGGAGCATTATTTTAGCCTTGTTTAACATTTGATGAACAACAAGGATGAAACGTTTCCGAGTTTTGAAGCGCCAAAAGTGAATCGCACCCTGCTATCCTTCGAACATCCGCGTGTCCGACTATATCCGACACGGTTGTTGCATGGTTACATTATATTATAATATTGTATTTTTTCCCGCCACCGCGGCCACGGCGCTCTCGCGCAGCTCGCGCTCTCCTCCTCTCCGACGCCGGCGCGCGGCGCCGTTTCCCCCTCCCCGGCTTCCCCGCCCCGCGCTTTTTCCGGAGCACGCAGAGATAACCAAAGACACACGTGTACACTTTGATCTCTTACGCTGCATTTCTGGAGCTTAGTATGTAACGCGCCGATCCGCCGCACCGACGAGTCGCAGCTGCAGAAGAACTTTCGTTCTCTCCTCCCCTCCCCACCCCCTTGCTGTCGACTTGACGACTACCTGACGATTAGTCCGCCAACGTCCATCGTAGGGTCCACGAGTGTTCGCGACTATGGGTAAGCCCCGACCGTTTTTCCGCGAGTGACCGTCCTTTTACGTTTCATCGTCGAGCGGAAACAACCGTTCCTCGGCCTCTCTTCCTGATCTCTCTCGCTCTCTTTGTCCGAAAGGTCGGCCACGGCGCCTCTCTCGAGCCGACCTGTCCGCCTCCCGTCGCTCCCATCCTCCCATGTCGACAGACGCGAAACTACGCTGCATTCCGCGCTTATTGATATCCGAATATTTACTCCGAATCCGCAGGCTCTCCGATCGAGACACGTCACGACGCGCTCGCGGCAATTATGTTGTTCTTTTACGCATGTCTCTTGTAAGTGCCGGTTGTTCCAACCTGTTGGTAAACTAATAATTAAATCATATGTCTGTAATCTTCGTCTAATTTGAAGGAAAGACAAAAGACACGTATGATTTAACTGTTATTAGTTGGTTTACGAACAAGTTGGAACAACCGGCCCTAAGCGGCTTGAACTCCCTTCCCAAGTAGAATAGGAAGGTCAAAATATCGTCAATTTCATATTGACGAAATTTATTGTCACTTTGACTTTTCTGTTCTACTTGGGAACGGAAACGCGGAGTTTTAAGTTTTAAGTCGCTGCAAGGGGCACGCGTAAAAGGCTACAGAGCGCAATTATCGCGGCTAATCACTGCGACGATAAATCGGTATATTGTTCGACTCGGCAGAAGAAACGATTGAGAAGAAAACGATGAAGAATTAACGCACGGGTTTTTTGCGCAATGTTTGATTTATACTGCGCCGCACGCGTCCCGTCGCGAACGACCGATTATCCGTACGTATTTACATAACAAATCCTTGCTTTGTGCGATATTCATTTTTATCATTGAGGATTAACTTCAGTCTCGGTTAACTCACACTCTTCTTTTTTTTTTTTTTTTTT